CAATGCCCACCCAGCACTGGCCTTCCAGGGCTGACAGCTGGAATGCAGCTGGAGCCAGCAGAGAGCCAGGAATAATGGCTTCAAACAGACAGAGGGCAGGGGTAGACGGGATATCAGCAAGAAATCCTTCCCTGTGAGGGTGGGCAGCCCTGGCACAGGGTGCCCAGAGCAGCTGTGGCTGACCCTGGATCCCTGGCAGTGCCCGAGGCCAAGCTGCACATTGAGATTTGGGGTGGCCTGGGACAGTGGAAGATGTCCCTGTCCAGGGCAGGCGGTGGAACTTGATCTTTTAAGTCCCTTCCCAACCCAAACTAGTCTTGGATTCCATGAACATATCCCAAAACGAGTAAATATCACAGCCAAATGGGAAAAGGGCTGAACTTTACAATCTGAAATATTCAGCTTTACAAGCTGAACTTTACAATCTAAACATTCCCCACAGCGGTTGGACAGGCAGGACACGAGAGGGACAGGTGGGACACAGCGAGGAAGGAGCATGGCTGGGCACTGTGCTCCCAAAACACAAAGAATTGCATGGGAACAAGCAAATATTCCAGGTCCAAAGATCGCTGCTGGAGCAAGCTGCTGGACTCTAGGCACAGAAATCGGGGATTATGGTGAGGAGGGTATTTGCAGGCTCAGCCCCTGCCTGAATGGAGGCTTGGAGCCAGGGAATGGTGACACGGGGCTGCATTCTCATGGTGTTAGCCTAGCCGGTTCAGCTCTGAGGCTATTGCCACTAAGGCAGCAGGGAGCCCGGCCCGGTGCAGCCACGACCCCGCTGTCCCCGGGCTCGCCCGACCCGGCTCAGGCTCGGCACCGTCACACCAAGGCTCTGTCTGCCATGGGAACAGGGCTGGTGGCGCTAGGACAGCTCCTGGCAGAGCAGAGGGTGGCAGGAGGAAGCTCAGGGACGGGATGACTTCTCCTTGCTCCATCCCTGCCCCAGCCGTGCTCCAGCTGGGCAAAGCTCCAGCGGCCACCGGCCCGTGCGGCTCGTCCCTGCCCGCTCCCGGGGGACAGCGCGGCCAGGGAGCAGAACAATCCCGGGAAGTGACCGGACGGGGGGGACACGAGGGGACAGGATACCGTGCTGGCCACCGCCACCGGCATTGTCTCTTTGGATAGCTGCGGGATGAGGTCAGAGGCTGAGCGGGGAACAGCGGCCGGAGGAAGCAACACCAACCTCTGATGACAGCGCCCGCCACGCTCTGAACCTCGCCAGGGACTCGGGGGAGGCTCTCCTTCCATCCGTGGGGGCTGGGATCCCTGGGAGGGGGAACTCTCCTGTCCCATGGGCAGCTGGAGGTCACACGGAGGCTCCCCAGGGGCATCAGGAGTCAGTGAAGCCCCAGCGCTGCAGAGGATCCTCCCAGCCCTGGGGTGCAGCAGCAATCCCTGGCAAACCCAAAAGGGCCCAAATGCTCCCTGTTCTGTAAATGTGGAAAAATCCCTCCATGCTCCAAAGGATGGAGCCCCTCTGCTCGGGAGCCAGGCTGGGAGAGCTGGGACTGCTCACGTGGAGAAAAGGAAGTTCCAGGGAGAACTTAGAGCCCCTTCCAGAGCCCAAAGGGGCTCCAAGAGAGCTGGAGAGGGACTGGGGACAAGAACAAAGAGTGAGAGGACAATAGGGAATGGCTTCCCACTGCCAGAGGGCAGGGATGGATGGGATATTGGGGAGGAATTGTTTCCTGGCAGGGTGGGCAGGCCCTGGCACAGGGTGCCCAGAGCTGCTCTGGCTGCCCCTGGATCCCTGGCAGTGCCCAAGGCCAGGCTGGACACTGGGGCTGGGAGCAGCCTGAGACAGGGGAAGGTGTCCCTGCCATGGCAGAGGTGGAACAAGATGGAGTTTAAGGTCCCTTTTAACCCAAACCATTCTGGGACTCCAGAAAAATATGTGAGGGGGCTTTACAGGACAGAAAGCCTGTGACATCCCTGGGGTTACGTTATCTCCCAAAATAGTTACAGCCTCTTCCACTATCACAGCAAGACCGTCTGGGCAGCCGGGGACTTCCCCTCCCCAGAAAGCTGAGGTTCCTCTCCAAATTGCAGAGTGGCAACAACTTCTTTTAGGGGAACTCTGCTGACTCTTTCTGCCCCCTCAGTGGCTGGGGAGATCCTTCCAGGTGGGAGCAACTTCACTGAGGAACATCACACCTGGGCAGGGTGAGGAGCTTCTCCAGCTCCATCAGCCCCCTGCTATGCGCACGGCAGTCCTGCCTTGAGGGATGCATCCCTCCATCCCTTTTTCCTGGAGGTATGAGAGTGGGGGAAAGCAGGGAGATACAGGCAGCACCTGCCCTGAGGTGGTCCCTGCAGTGAGCCCTCCATGCAGTACAGGAAGGAGGTGACTGGCTGCCAGATGGAAGCTGTCACCTCCATGTCCCAGCAGGTCCTTCTGGGTGCCCAGGAAGGCAGGAGATCTGCTCCAAGCCAGAGCTGCATCCCCCAGCCCAGAAAAAGGGCTCACTGGGGACCATGGGAGAAAATGTGTGGGACGCAGCGCCTGCTCCGCTGGCAAACGCCCCCGTGGGCTGCAGAGGAGCCACAGGGAGCCAGGCTTGTGGGCGCCGAGCTTGTGCAGCTGCCTCACTCGGTTACCCACTTCCCGCTGCCGCTGCTTCTGAGAAAACACCCGGGGGCCCTTGGGGACTGCAGCAGGGAGCAGTGACGGCTTCACTGGTGGCCCTGTGCAGCAGCACAGCCCCACTCCAGCCTGGCCAGGGCTGCGTTGGATGCTTTTCCTGCTGTGGGGAGCAGGACCCTGGGGAGGAACTGCCTGTATTGCAGGACGTGCGTGTTCGCTCTGATTGATTTTGCAGCACCTCCAGGGCACGTGCAGGGCCACAGACCCTGCAACCCACAGACCCTCTGACCCACAGACATTCCTACACACCAGACCCTCCAGCTCATGGACCACCCAGACCCTCAGCCTTACATCCCCGTGAGTGTGGGAGCAAAGTCAGGGTTCCTCCTGGGCTGTCCAACAGCCCTTGGACAACTGCTCCTCCATGGGTCAGTGGATGTCACAACCTCCATCTCAGGGCCACTCTGGTGTGTCCCCAAGCTCTTGCTGGGGTTCTCAGGAAAAAAAAAAATCTGCCCCCTGTCCCTGCAGAAGGGCCTCTGTGCCCAAAGGCAGCTGCTTCAGCAATGTGCAGAAGCCACAGAATCGTGGGATCATTTAAGTGGGAGAAGCCCGCCAAGACCATCAAGTCCAACTGTTCCCCCAGCACAGCCAAAGGCACCATTAATCCATGTCCCCAAACGCCACATCCACATGTTTTTTTTTAATATTTCCAGGAGTGGGGGTTCCACCACTGCCCTGGGCAGTCCAGCAGTGGAGGATGATCTGCTATCAGCACAGGCTGGGCAGGACAGGGCTGGCATTAGGACCTCTGTCACCCCACACATAGAACTGGCACTGGGGAGAGCCCAGTGACACCCCCTGGACCCCCAGCCCCAACCCTAGCAGAGGCTGAGTCTGTGTCACTGGGGCAGGAGGGGCTCCTGTGCTGATGGGACAGCTCAGTCATGGGACAGGGGCAGCTCCCACCCATCCCAATCCTGAGGGGCTGGAGGAGCCCGGAGTAACACCCCAAACTGCTCCTGGCAACCCCCACAACAAACAAACCCCCAGAGCGTCCCCAGAGCTGTGCTGTGGCTGCGGGGGTTTTCAGCCTCAGCAGATTTGGGGCTGGAAAATATTTATTTCTGTAGCTTGGCAACATTTGTCACTGCTGTGGGGGTGGAAGGGGGTGAATGGGACCTGGAGACAGTAACAGCCCGAGCATTCTGTCACCCATCAGGACCGTGATGACTGGGATGGGTTTAAAGCCCCTTCCTGCCCAGGCTGGGGAGGAGCTGGTGCTGCCCGGGGACAGAACAGGAGCAGGGGTGGAACAGACGCCAGAGTCAGAGCAAGACAGCGAGGGCAAAACGCTGACTGCAGTGACTCAGAGGGGAAAAACGCCCTCAGTGACACAGGGGTTGCTGCCATCAGCACAGTGGGACAGTCCCCACACCACCCTGGCCCCAGTGATGGGGGCTGTGTGCCCCCACAGAGGATCACGGGCAGATCCCTGTGTCACAGACGTCTCTGAGTGTCACCACCTTGGCACACACTCACCCCCATCTCCTGGCTGCCCCTCGGGCTCCATTTGGAACAGACATCAGTGGTCACATCACACAGCATGGGGACAGCAACAGCCCAGAGTGTCCCCTTGGCAGCCCTCCCCAGGGACTGCCACCCTCCTGCTGGAGCAGCACTACCAGGCTGGGATCTATGTGTGCTCAGAGCCTCCTCAGCAGCACTGAGTCCTGGGGCTGGCAGAGGGGGTGTCCAACATCCTCCTGCTCAGCACGATGGACCAGGGATGAGGGCACAAACTGAAACTGTCTATTTCCTGCTCACACAAGCTGCAGCAGAGCCACATGTGACTCTGCTCCACGTGAAGATCAGAGGGAGAGAGGGGCACAAGCAGAGCCACAGGTTCCTCTTCTGTCATCCTGGTGGCACCTCCCGGGGATGGGAAACTCCAGGAGGAAAGACAGGGGGAATCCTGGGGGACCCATCATCCCATCCAAGGCCAAACCTCACTCAAAGCTCAGCTTGGCAGAGGGCTGCAAACCCACATCCCTGAGCCTTGTTCCTGGGCTGCTGACAGGGGCAAGATCAGGGGAAGTGGCACCAGAGCCCCTCCCTTTGGAAACAGGAGCCCCGGAGCAGGGCCCTCCATGCCAGAAGGATGACAGGCAGTAGTCCATGTCCCTGAGCAGGTGGGGAAAGGCACAGACTCTGTGCCCTCTGCCACTCCCCACTGTCCGAGCACCATGGGGGAGGCAGGACAGGGGATTCCTGACACTCCTCTTTAGCCAGGCACGTGCTGCTGAACTTGCTTCCCTGAGGTTTCCCCCTTCTCCGATGCCAGTCCCACCAGCTGGCAGTCCCAGGCATCCCTGCTCCCACCCTGCCAATGGGAAAAAGATGGACACAGGCAGAGGTTTAAAATCCTGTTCACAGAACCATGTCCCCTCTGTACAGCACAAAACATATTTTTTACAGTATTTACAGCAGCAGCTGGGGCAGAGGCACTTGGGGGGCAGAGAGGGGCCCGATTTGGGGCTCCCCATGCAAAGCAAAGGTCAGCAGTGACAGATGCCACCAAGGAATCAGGCTTCCCAGCCAGGGGGGGATGCTGAGATCACGTTGATGTCCTGCAAGCTGATCTTCCCCAAAATCACGGTGGGGGCTTCAGCAGCAGCCCAGCTCCCCCCTCAAACCCCTTGGTCCCCAGAGCCACCAGACTCCACGCGGGCAGGGCCAGGTGCCTGCCCAGGGCTGTCCCCTCCTGGCGCTGGCAGGGCCTTGCCACCGTCGTCCCGTGGCCGGGTCCGTCCCCACTGCCCGTCCCTGTCCCCGGAGCCATCCCCACCCCAGCCAGGGGTGCAGAAGCAGAGGCAGCATCAGGGAGACTCAGGGCTGGGGCTGCTCCTCTCCGGATTCCACCGCACAGCTCACATCTCTGCAGGATGACACAGAAGATGGTGACAGTCTGCAGGGTTAGAGCAGAAATCTGGGGCAGGGGGTCAGCTCTGGTCCCCTCCCTCCCTCCCAACAGGGCTGGGGCCTGCAAAGGAACACTTCCCACCAGCCACCTCATTTTGGACACCAGGGATGGGAACAGATAGCAGAACTGTGCCTTACAAAGTTTGCGTGGGGGGAAATGGTTTTTTAATCAGGTTCTCTCTGCCTCCAGCCCGTCACACAGGGCCCCTGTGGGAGGAAGTGGGCTCTGCCTCGGTTTCCCCAGCAAAGCAGCCATTGGGGAGCAGCCAAACTCTCCAAGGCTGCTAGGTACAGATGCCAGAGATGCCCAGCACAGCATCGTCCCGCCTCACAGGGACACCCCCAGACTCTTACCAGAGGGAAACATCTGGAGGAGGAGAGCACGACCAACAGCCTGGGACTGCCCTCCCTGCCACCACACAGGCCCACTCTCCTCCCTCCTGATGGGGTAGGTTAGGATACACCACAAGGGAAGATCCCTTTTTTCCTCCTGCTCACCTTGCCCCCAGATAAAGCGCAGCCTCTGAGCTGCAGCCGGAGGGAGGCTGCAGGCAGAGAGCCATAGGTTTCTGTATATCTTCCCCAAAACATCAACAGCTCTGCAGGTTGTGCTGTTGGGCTTCACTGCCAGGACTAACCCAGCCTTCATGTCCCCAGTCCCCTCCCTCAGGCACCAGCATTGCACCTCATCTGAGGAAACTGAGGCAGCAGAGGGGGAAGACACTTAAGCCATGGAATTTCTTCCCAAGCTGAAAAAGCTGGAAGAGGGAGGTGACATCCATGAGCCCCTCCCCAAAAGGAAGGATGGAAGGGTTCCACCACTGCAGCCAAAATCAAGTTCCAAGTCCCCTGCAGTGGGACCCCCCAGGCAGAGGAGGTGCTGGCCAGGCTGTGCCAAGTCAGGGGCAGGGGAGGAGCCCCAGCCCAGGTGTCCCATCCTGTGGGAAGTGCAGGGATCAAGGCTGGGCACGTACCCTCCAAGGCTTTATCCAGGTCTGCGATGAACTCCTCCAGCTCCTGCGTGTCTCCAAGCTTTGCTAGTGGGGAAAAACACAGTCAGGTCTTCCCATTCCCCCTCTCACTGGGGAGAGGAGAGACCCCAACCCCCCGTTCCTAGCACAGCTGCTCCAGCTGTGTCTGACCCAGCCAGTCCAGCCTCAGCTGGGAAAATCCCAATCTAACTTCTGCCCCTTCCAGGCTCCTGCCAGGACACAAGGGCTCATTCCCACTCTGTAGGGCCCCATTGGCACCCCCCCTATCCAGGGCTGGCTGTCATTGCCAAACCCAGCTGAGCACAGAGAAGGAAGCCCTGCAAACCCCTTTGGGTAGGGCCAGGCTCACCTTTGGTGGGATAAGTGTCAGCTGGGCTGTTGAGGTGCTCCTCACTGGAGTTGAGGCTGCTTCCTGGGGACATGCTGGCACCTGCGGAGACAGAGCATCAGTCCTGGCCTGGGCACAGGCACCTGATGAACACTTTGCAGGAACATGGCTCAATCACACCCATGGCACAGAGTGGCACACTCTTGGAGACCCCATCTGCTTCTCTCCTGCTTCTAGGAATGCTTGGAAAAATGGAACTGAGTTGCTTTCTCAGGTCAAAGAGCACCAGAGGTTGTCTGGGCACAGTTACAAGGACAGGGTTACTACAGAGAACTGGGTTATCCCCAGCCTCTCAGGGTTTTGCAGCAGCCTGCCTGGCATAAGAAGCCCTGGCAGATGTTGGCAGGTCCTGGGCCAATATCCAGTGGTCATCCCCCCATTGCTCATCCAGCCCACCAGGCTGAGTCAGGCAGCGTCAGCAGGAAGATGTGCTCCATGCAGGAACCACAGAGCTTCCCACCCTGGCAGACACCATCCTCCCCAGGGCTCCTCACCCCCGCCCAGACTCACTCTCCAGCTCATCGATGCCACTGTCATACACACTCTGTCCCGCCTTCCTCTTCAGCTCCTCCAGGTGCTGCTGGTACTGACTGGCAGGGCCACGTTCAAAGTCCTCCATGACTTCGTCGAACTCCCTCAGCAGCTCACTGAGCTCCTCAGCCATCGCTGGGGGCAACACGGGGGTGTTGGGGTACCCACCTGGCAGGCAGGGCCAGCAAGAGCCTCTTGGGAGCAGCCCAGGCTGGGGATGGGGCAGAGCCAGGCTCCAGGTCCCGGCTCTGCAGGCAGTGGCCAGCACTGGTCCGAGCACAGCCGGCTCCTCAGACAGCTCAGCCTTCCCTCCAGCTCACCCCACAGCTGGGCTTGGGCCAGCCCAGTAAGAGCTGGTCCTACACAGGCTTGATAGAATCCCAGAAGGGTTTGAGCAGGAAGGAACCTTAAAGCCCATCCCATTCCACCCCTGCCATGGGCAGGGACACCTTCCACCAGCCCAGGGTGCTCCAAGCCTCAGTGTCCAGCCTGGCCTTGCGCACTGCCAGGGATCCAGGGGCAGCCACAGCTGCTGCGGCCAGCCGGGCGGCACATGGAGGAGCGGAGGGCACAGTCCCCGGCCGGAGCAGTCCGGGACCCCCGGCTCCATCCCGCTCCCGGGGGTTGCCGGGAGGCTGCGAGGGGACACAGGAGCGGAACCCCTCGCAGGTTCCGAGGAGGCGGCATCCCCCGGTTCGGTTCGGTTCGGCTCGGTTCGGTTCGGCACTCACCGGCTGCTCGGCTCCCTGCGCTCGGGTCCCGGCGGCAGCGGCGCCTCCTGCTCCGCTCCCGCCGCTTTTGGCCCCGCACCGGGGGCTGGGCGGGGTCTCCAGGAGGCTCCGCCCCTCAAACGGCGGCGCGGGACCGGGGGACTCCCGGCGTCACCCCCAAACACCCCCGAACAAACACCCCCGAACAAACACCCCCGAACACCCCCTAACAAACATCCCCGAACAAACACCCCCGAATACCCCCTAACAAACACCCCCGAACAAACACCCCCAAACGTCCCCTGCCCGGTCTCACTCCTGACAAACCCCGGACAGAAGGTGGAACACAAGGTTCGGGCTCAGCTCCCAGGGAACAAGGGACAGATGGGCTCAAGCTGTGCCAGGGGAGGGTCAGGTTGGATATTGGTGAAAATTCCTCCGTGGACAGGGCTGTCCAGCCCTGGCACAGCTGCCCAGGGCGGTGGTGGAGTGCCCGTCCCTGGAGGGATTTAAAAGCCGTGTGGATGTGGCACCTGGGGACATGGGTTGGGGTGGCCTTGGCAGTGTTGGGGAATGGTTGGACTCGGTGCTCTTGGAGGGCTTTTCCAACCTCAACAATTCCGCAATTCTCTCCCACAGGTTTTCCAGAGAACTGTCAAGCCCAGAGCTCTGTGTCTGGGCCCTGCCCTGGATCCTGGTCAGCAGCATGAGGGAGACACAGGGGTTTAAAGAAAGAGGAGCTCGGCCTCTGCTTTCTTTCTGTTGACTCTAAACCCGCCCTTGAATCCGAGCAGCCGGTCCCACTCCTGCAGATACTCCCTGTTGTACCCTCACACGAGCCCTAGGCCTGGCTCTGCCTGTGAAACCCCACTGGTCTGAGGGGCTCAAGGGGGCTTTGGTGGGGCTGGAGCTAAAAACCAGCCAGAACCACCCCAACAGCAGCAACTGCCCTCAAAAACAGCAACTGCTCTCTAAACAGCAATGACCCCCCCCCAAACAGTGACCAGCCCCAAAACAGTGACCAGCTCCTGACAGCCACCAACCCCCCAAAGCAGACACCCCCAACAGCAGCAACCCCTCCTGTGCCAGCACTGGGGATAAGGAAAGATCAGGACAGAACCTTCCCTATCGTTTCTGAGGTGACCCCCAAGGCTTGCAGGGGCAAAAAGCCGCTGAAAACAGAACCTGGAGCACGACAAAAGCCAGCCAGCCCCTCCAGAGCGGGTGCAGAGCCACGCCAAGGCTCCGTGAGGGAGATGTGAGCTGCCTGGGGAGGGGGTTTATTTCGTGAGGGCGGGACAGAGCGGCTCCGGGCCGGCCCCGTGCGCTCCTCAGCGCTGCTCCGCCGAGGCCGATCTCTGTGCAGCCGCAGGAGGCCGCGGCCAGGCCGGCGCCGGGCTGCCCTCAAGCGGAGTTTCCAGCAATATCCCATCAGCACTGCCAGGGATAAACACGCTACGGCGACTTTGATGGTTCTGGAGTAGCCAGAGAAAGCTGGCACTTCCCAGTGAGCTCCCCGTGCCCCCCTGCCCCCGTTGTGGTGCTGGGAAAGTGAAATCCAACAGCACTTTTCCTGCAAAGAGCTGCCTCCTGTGTCAGCATCCTTGGTCCATCCTAGAATCGTGGAATCACAGAATGGCTTGGGTGGGAAGAGACTTTAAAGTCCATCCCGTTCCATGCCCTGTCCTGGGCAAGGACACCTTTTACCACCCGGGCTGCTCCAAGCCGCATCCAACCAGGCCTTGGATGCTTCCAGGGATCCAGGGGCAGCCGCAGCTGCTCTGGGCACCCTGTGCCAGTGTTTTACCACCCTAGGAAGGAATTTGAAAGGCTGGGGGCTGCTCTTGCAGCAGGTACAATCCCACCCAGAGCAGTGGCTGGGCACAATGTTGGTTTCACAGCTGACACTTGAGTGTTCCAGTGGCCTCTGGAACCTTCCACAGACTCATGGTGTCCCAAATTTATCTGCTCCTCCAGACACAACAACTCTGCTGCTCTTTGGAGCTTATCAGCTCCCAGGGGGTCTCACCAGCTATCTCACACCACAGGCTCCTCCAGGAAATGCTTCCCCACCCATTCCTACTGTTCTGATCTGCAGGGAAGGGACCTTTGCAAAATAAGAGCCCAGCCCTGAGCAGGGCACCTGAGAAGGTCTGGACGCCTTCAGACCAGGACTGGGTGCAGGCTGTGGTGGAATATGGAATACTGTTAGCAGAGGCACTGTTTGGTCCCCAAAAGTGCCCTGCTCTGGCTGCCCCAGCCCTGGAAACATTCAAGGCCAGAAGGCCAGGCTGGATGGAGCAGCCTGGTGCACTGGAAGGCTTATGCCAGGGCCTCACCACCCTCACAGGGAAGAATTTCTCTGAATATCCCATCTAGCCGTGCCCCCTGGCAGTGGGAAGCCATTCCCCTTGTCCTGTCCCTCCAGGCCCTTACAAAAGCATTTGGATACATGGATAGATGTCACAATAGGACACGAAATAATGTGGATACTGCAACTTCAAGGTGAGAAGAAGAAGAAGGAGGGAAGTTTATTTCTTGACTCTAATATTTATAGACTTTCAAAAGTGACAGTGGATTGGAGGATGAAAGTGCTACCTCTCCAACGACACTAGACAGTCCATCAAATTTCTCCTCCTCTAGAGAAGAATGTAAAACAATAATTATTTACATAAAAGTGCGTGAGAAACTTCATTACAAGAATGTAAACATCAGAAGGCTTAGAAGAACTTAGAAGAACAGGGTCACAGATAAGGTCCCTCTGAGCCATCCCTTCTCCAGGCTGAGCAGTCCCAGCTTCCTCAGCCTGTCCTCCCAAGAGTGCCCACAGGTCTAGGGATGGAAATCCATTCCCCGAGGTCCTGTGAGAAGGAGGTGGCAGGGGAGGGCTGTGCTGAGGACGTGGCAGCAGTTGGACACACAGGGAGATGCCAGCCTGGCAGGTGACTCCCGAGGACAGCTCTGCCCCCAGGGCACAGGCACAGGGGCTGCCCCCAAAGTGAGGCAGGGGCTGGGTTTTGCTGGAAAAAGCTGCCTGTTTTTTTTCCAGAGAGCCTGGCCAGGGCTTGCTAGATGCCAACATCCAGGTTTAGGAAGGAGACATTGCTGTAGAGCTCCGAGGAGACCGAGCCTCGCTCCAGGCTGTGTGTCCAGCCGGGCAGCGCGGACAGAGCGAGGTCCTGCCCGGGATCCTCACACTCTGGGCTCCTAAGGAAGCAAAAAATAGAGAGATGCTGTTTGCAAATGCTTCTACCACCTACTGCACTCCCAAATGGGCTCAAGCAGTGATCCCAAAGATTGCCATTTCCAGAAAGTCCCAAAAGGAATGTGAAGGCAAAAAAGAAGCTGTAGCATGGATCACAGAATCCTGGGTTTGGGTTGGAAGGAACTTTGAAGAGCATCTAGTCCATGGGCAGGGATACCTTCCACTAGACCAGGCTGCTCCAAGCCCCATCCAAACTGGTATGGAAGTGGCCTGTGGTCTGGGAAAACCCTTCCCACAGGACAATGTTTACTGAAGAGTCATCAGCTCTACTGAAGGCTCTTGAGCATCCCCTACTTCCCAGGATCCCCTGTTTTCAAGCATTTCCTACTTCCAACCCCAGGGAACAAACCTCCTCCTGCATTATGTGCCATGGTGGACCCAGCTTATGGGACGTGAGGTCCTGTCAGCCACCATCCTTAACCTTAGGGAAGCTCCTGTTCTGAGCCTCAGTGGGACTGTCCCATCTTGCACCCGAAATGTGGATGTATGGACAGAGCCCCACACAGACACACAGGGCAGGCAAAGACTGCAGGGAAACGTGGACACCAAGGATGGAGGAGGTTTGGAGAAGGCTGGTGGTGGAGCAGGAATCAGCATGTGACACTGAGAGGCAGGAGCAGGGGAGGGCTGGACAGGAGCCTGTGTGGATACCAGAGCTCTGGAGAGAGCTGGGACAGGCTGAGGGGCAAACAGGGAGAGCAGGGAGCTCTAAGCGATGGGAAGGATGGAGTGTGAAGGGCTTTTCCTGGGGAGCTCGTCACCAGAGTGCTGGAGGAAGATGAGCAGGGCGTGCTGTCACTTGTCCCTGTGCCCTGAGGAGCCCCTCGGGCACTTACGGCATGTCAGGGAATTTCCTGCGCAGCAGGTACTCAATGACATCAGGGTCTGTCTGGAACAGCCTCCTCAGCACGTCACACTGCATCTCTGGAGACACCTGGGGAGACACGGCCACTCTGGAGACACCTGGGGAGACACTCATGGGGCCCCTCTCGGACGGAGTCCGAGCAGAGACACCCAAGGAAGGACCCCAGGACGTGGTCACAGACCCAGCGTGTTGGTGTCACACCCCACACACCTCCCAGGGTCTGCAGGATCTCAGCCCCTGCTTTCCCCCCATTATCCCCAGTCCTTTGGCTCCCTGCAGACCCCAAAAATTGCTATAAGGCTTTTTGGGGACACGAAATGTCACATTCCAATAGACCTGAGGGAACTCTTACTGCTCCCTGCGAGTGCCCTGTGGGAGGGTGGAGAGAGAATGGAGCCTTCCCAGAAGATGGGCACAGACCAAAGTGTGCCTGTCTGACAGGGACAAAATCCTTCCCCTGCTGCTCTTGTGGAAGAGTTCAGAGGGAAGGAGGGGCTGGAGGGGCTGCCCTGAGGAGCCCCATATACCATGAACAGGGAGTGGTGGTGCTCAATCAGCCTCTGGAGCACCAGGATTATGGCAGCACTGTCCTCAAAGTTCAGGGCACCAGCATCTTTCTCTCCAGGCTTCTCCTTCTGCAGGATGTTGGGACCAAAGACTGTAGCCAGGTTTGACACTGTCATTTTATTCCCTGGGATCTACAAGGAAGCACAAAAGGAGCCTGTGGACTGTGGATGTAGTGGCATGGGATGTCCCAGGATATCCTCACCCACCCCAGGGCAGGAACACAAGGGTGAGGTGAGGGTGAGATGTTGGTCCGGGTCCAGTCTGGTTCTCTCTGAGCTGGTGGCAGGGCCAGCACAAAGGGCTTGAGGTGCTGGAACACACACTCATCCCATTCCCACCTGCCTCACCTTCCCACCTTTCCAACCACAATGACCCTGGGATTCTGTGAAGGATTTGTTTTTTCCCAAAGCCTTCACCCAGGCTTGCAGCAGCTCCGCTCACTTCCAGCCCCAGCAGCCCGAGCACCTTTCCCCGGGCAGC